CCCGCCGCTGCGCTGTCCAGCGGCCCCAGAGCAGGACCGGAGGGGAGCATAAAGCCCCAGCATGTAAGTGGCCGGCGCACGTGTGCGAGAGCTCGCCTTGTCATCGACTATGTAGGCGGCGACCGCGCCCTCGCAGCGCTCTAGCGCCAGGCAGCTGGGGGCGGCGTCCTCTGGACCCGGTGGGATGCGCTGTGGTGCGGGTGCGGCACGGAGGGCGGAAGGGGTAGATGGGTGTGCGGGAGGGGTATCAGTGGGGCTGGTGGTAAACCGCGGCAGCGGCAGCTGCCACCGCAGCAGCAGCAGCAGCGGCAGCAGCAGCAGCAGCAGCAGCAGCAGCGGCAGCAGCAGCAGCAGCAGCAGCAGCAGCAGCAGCAGCAGCAGCAGCAGCAGCAGCAGCAGCAGCAGCAGCTCGAGCTGCGGCGCCGCCACCTCAGTCGCCGGCCCCCAGGGTGTCAGACAACAGCTGAAACAATACGCAGCCGAACTTATAAAATACTTGGATGAGTCAACACCTGCAACAGGTGAGAAATCTGAGCCTCAGACGGGTTGAAGCCGAGTGTCCGCACCACGGCGCCCAAGTCCTTCGCGTCGATGGCCAGACTGCCAGGGGATCGCTCAAACAGAACGAAAGCGTCTCGCACTTTGACCTTCGCGGCCTCGATCTGCTCCTGCCGCGACAGCATTGCGCGCCCGCCGCGCCGCTGCGCAGGGCTCGCTGCTGACTTCGTTTGACTGGCTATGACGAGTGTCAGTGCTTGAGCGAATCGCAGGAGGTAAATGCTCATAACATGACAAGAAGAGACCGTGAAAACGCGACATGTCACACCCTCACAGGAGGTCGGGGAGCCCGGGGGGTTGTGTCTGTGACTCATGGCGTGTCATCTGTCCACAACTGTAGGAGCTTGGTTTGCCTCCTGATGACCCCCTGCTTTGTGTGCCGTCCGCTGCCTTCCATGTGCATGCTTGCTGCGTATCGCACGCAGACAGTGCCCTCCCGCTCGACAAGCACGATTTACATCAGGTCACAGGTGACGAAAAACGGCGCCAATTTTACAATGGCAGTCATGCATGAGACTGCAGGTGGCGCCGCCGCCGCGCTGGCGCCCCTGGCGGTCCCCGTTCCACGAGCCCCATAATCGGTCGCGCCGCGCCGCGCCCCTCACGGCGCCCCCTCCTGCCACCCCCGCTTCCCCCGCACCCGCTTCGCGCGCCCCGCGGCCCCGCCCCCGCCGCCGCCCCCGCCGCCCGCGGGCAGCGCGGGGGGCGCCCCGAAGCCGAAGGCCGCCGCCCTGTCCTCGTCCAATAGATCATATTCATCAAGCAGCATATCCTGGCCGTGGGCGCCCCGCAAATCAAGGTCCGCCTTTGGGGGCATAGCGGAGGCGTTGGGCGGGGCCGGGTTTGGGTTGGACACACGAAACAACAGACATGCGCAAGTCCGCTCAGCCACGCGCCCCAAAACACACGCCACACCATCAAAACGACCCCCTCCTCCCTGTCTCCCCTCGCTTGCGCACCTTCACGTTCCGCCTGACCTCCTCCTGCTTTTTCTCCAGCGCTGCCCGCCGCGCCTTGGCGGCCTCCGTGCCCACGGCGGCCGCCGTCACGTTGACGTCAAGCAGGGTCAGCAGCCCTGTGGCGGTGGACAGCCTGGGGGAGGGTGTGTGTGTGTA